GAGGAGATATCGGAGCCAGAAGAGACCTCATCGCCTTCGGTAGAAAACAACAACAGCAAAGTCAACGACTCCGGGTTCGCGGCGCCCCCGCCAACGCCCAGCTCGCCGTCCTACGGCGGGACTGGGGTGCCCCCCTGGCAGTCCATAGCCTCCGCCTCGGTATCCACCACCTCCAGCACCGCCGCTGTCTCCCCGTCGGGCCTCTCGCCCCCGGCCTCGCCGGCTAGTGGCGCGGGCAGCGGGAGCGACGTAGGAGAGAGGCGGAGGCCGGAGAAGACGGACGCGGTGGCGCGCCGCATGATCGCTAGCGCGCTGGGGGTCAGGGCGCCACGGCCGACCGAGGAGCAGAGGGCGTACGATCGCGCGGTTAGGGAGAAAGAGAGGAAGAGGAGGGAGGAGGAGCGTGCGGCGGAGAGGAAGAGGGAAGAGGAGAAAGAGAGGGCTAAGGCGGCGATTTGGGATGATTGATCGAATCGATTGGTTGCCTAGTTTGAAGGCCGGGGTTGGAGATTTGAAAATCTGGGACCCTGAGCGAAGAACAGGGATTTTCACCTGCGAGTATTACCCGTTGGACAGGATGACCAATGTGCTTGTTTCGGGATGACTCGGCGGGTAGGCGCCTCTGGTGGCTGTTTTGAGGGTTCGAGCGCTTTCGTTTGTGGGTGGCGGCATAAGTATGGGAGCTGAAGGTATCGACCTAAATAAAGCGCCGAAGGAATGGATAACTTCTATAGTTTTGAAGCGGTTGATTAATGATAACTCGTAGCTAATTTCAAGGCTTGGTTGATATCATATTCATATATACCCGGGCATATATATATGACCTTGGTGAGGTTTTCAAGAGCAAGAGCTCACGCAGATACAGAAAAGAGGCAGGCTTAATGGGAGAAAATTGGTTGAGAAAATATACGCAGCCATCTTTCGAATTTAAGCATTATATTTATCGTGGAGATCGTATTAACGCTGGCTAGATAGCGTATGGTTTAATAGTCAGGCACCTAATAGAGGTCTATGTTTCTATCATCGTTAGTTATAAGATAATCAAACAAGTCTTAAAAACCTCCGCAGAGATGAAACTAATCATCTGCTTCTTTTCCAACTCCTATGACCTCCCCTTATTAGTTCCACCCCACTCTCCAAAACTTAGACGGGTTCACACGGCCTCCCCTTCCAAGTCAACACCAACCTCTGCCCCGATCCTCCAGCATCATCCTCACTAAACCGCACCCCGACGCCCAGCCCCTCGAGCCCCTCCTCCTCCGCGCGCCCGTTCCACACCATCTGCTCCAGCCGGCCGTCCGCCGTACACGACGCGAAGCCCATGGGCCAGCGACTGCGGCCCAGGGCGTCGCGCACGCCCTTCGTCGCGGGCTTCTGGGCCACCAGGAAGCCCAGGACACCGGAGCCGGGGGACGAGGACCGCCACCCCGCCGGCGCGCCCGCGAACGCGCCCTCGAGCTCCCGGATCTGGTGCGGCCCGACCTTGGTGCTCTGCGCCGAGGACGCCTTGCACTGGACGAGGACGCGCAGGGGAGGCGGCGGGTTGGGGGATGAGGGCGGGGCGGTGGGCAGGCGCCAGGTTCCTAAAAGGTCGATGCCGCAGTCGTCGCGGCCGCCGATGCGCCGCAGCTCGAAGCCTAGCGTCGAGAGGGCGGCGGCGACGGTGTACTCGTACCGCGTGCCGGCGTAGGTCTTGGATGTGACGTCCAGGCCGGTGCGCGCGGCGTAGGCGGCGTAGGAGGCGAGGTCGTGGTGCTCGCTGCTGCTTCCTGGATTTTCGGGATAGAGCAAGGTGTGGTTTGGGGGTGAGGTGGAGGTGGAGGAAGAGCGTGCATGGTGGGTGTATTTGAGAGGGTGTTCATGGGTATATGTAAGGGGGGTGGGCGAGAGGTGCTGGAGCCATGCTGGGCGGTAGCGTAGGATAGACCTCATTCCATTCCTAAATTATCCCAATGAGATGAAGTGCTCGAAAGCTGGTGTTTGTATTCCTTAACTACCAAGTATATGATGTACCTAAGAGAGGTTGTGGGTGAAGAACTCTTTCAGGTACATGTACGTTCTGTGACGCAGGTTCATAGATCCTTATCGATAAAATCCCGTCACTCTTCTATGTACGTAGGTTAGACCCTTCTAACCCTTGTACGATTAGCCCCACCATATTCCACTAGTAACTCAATTCAATGTTCAATGTTGTGTACTTCGAAGCTCAAAGCTACAACCTTGAACCACTTAGATCATCACTCTGTGCCAAATCTACGAGCTTGCATCATGGGGGACAGACTTACCCAATTACAAGATGCTGTTGATCAGGTTAGCTTGTATATCATATGAAGCTTCGACAAAGACTGACTTCCGAGTGCCCAGCTTGCGCAGCAATTCGTCGCATCCATTCACTACATTAACCGACATCACAACCTCGAGACTCTAGGCCCAGGCGATCAAATCCGAGATATAAAGCAAGAACCGGATCAGCAGGAGGGCAAGTTGTTATGATAAATACCTACCTAACTTATATATATTGCTCATTACACATGCTAATACATCACACAGTAGATCCGCACCCTGAAGACGTCTTCAAGGCGTCGCAAGTCGAGCTCGCCCAAGACCTCATCACGAAAGAGCAGCAAATCGAGCTCCTTATCTCTATACTCCCCGGCCTCGACAATAGCGAACAAGACCAAGAGCGCAACATCAAGGAGCTAGAAGAGGAGCTCAAGGTTGCCGAGGCGCAACGGCAGGAGGCGATCAAGGAGAAGGAAGACACTATGGCGAAGCTGGACGCCGTCATCCGAAGCATCAGGCGCCCGTGATTATTGAACAATGGATGGTGAGATGTTGATGTGATACCCCGGTTAGGCTAGGCGTTATGGGCAGTGTTGCTTTACTTTTCTGGTGAGCTAAGGGAAACGCAAAAGTAGGTAGTCTATTAGACTATAACAGTGTCTTATTCTACGGATATAATTAGGCTTCACTGCCCCCTTTGATGCTGACCCTCTCTGATGCCGGTACTGATGCTGATGGTCTCCTTTAAATGCCCGAGTTGTGCCATGCGGCCGAGGCTATACCCAAGCTCTATACCTCACACCATTTATGCCGAATTTGGCGATTTGAAGAATTGTGGAAATACACCCCGCAGCTCTTCCAGATGTCGAATCTGAAACTTGGATGCTTGGGTCTCTGGGACCGGTAGACCCTCCTCGACTAAGTGAACTGGTGTCCAACCTAGCTCTTGCGCCCCGACCACGTTTGCGTATGAATCGTCTGGATGAAAGTTAACTGCTATGGTTCCGATGTATATATGTATTTGATGGTTAATATGAAATGTAGGTACTTACCAACAAAATAGCAATCCTCAGCTCGTTCTACTCCCGCCTCCTTCATCGCCTTAGCGAACATATCCTTATGCGGCTTGCATATGATAGGGTCTTGAGAATAGTCGCAATACGTAAGGCCCTCGAATAGATCGTCAATGCCCAAAAGCTTGACAACCCTCTGGCCGTGCGTGATGTAAGCGTTAGTTAAGAGCCATAATTTCACTTTAGATGTGTCAATATCCTCAAGCAGCTTCCGGAGTTGCGGATTCCGTTTGATGATGCCCTCTAGGGGTAAAGCGTCGTCGACCTTGGCGTTGTAGTCCAAAGGGTCTATCTGGTGGTGCCGCACTAACCCTTGGATCGCGAGACCGTAGTTCTTGTAGTACTCCTTATGGAGCCTGATAGCTTCCTCTTCCGCGAGACCGAGGTGAGTTGCGAAGTATACATCTATCAGGTCGGCCATCAGGTCGTGGACTTTGGTGCCTGAGCTAGTAGTTAGCATGAATCGTTTCTTCCCTTTCCCCTCTCCTCTTGCTATTTAGTTCGTTAGGGTATTTAAACGTACTTCTGGGGTAGAGGCAATTGTCGATATCGCTATTTGAAGTATTAATATCGATTTTGAAGATTGTAGTAGAAGAAGGGCTTACAAGAACAAGACAGGTTTAGATGTTGTTGCCCCATTGGGCTCTGTCGTTTGCGATCCCATGGCTCGGTATATTCGTGTGTAATAAGAACGGAGTTGGTAGAAGAAGAAGATAAAGCTTATATAACTGGACGATACAATAAGTTTATAAATATCTTATAATCAAGTCCTTATGTGAGAACTTCAATGTGAGCAATAGCCCTGCAGTTAAGACTGTTAAGTGACTATGAATTGAGCTGTTAAGAGTTAAAGAGACAATTGCTAAATGTTGATCCGTTTAAGTAGTTCAACTTTGGCGCGGATAGAAAGCGAAGTAATTGGGGAATTTAGTAGAATAGTCTAGAGACTAAACAATTATCACAATTAGCTACGGATAATATATGTGATACAACTAGTATTTATATTCCATCATCATTTTAGATATCATGGTTATTCTAAAGATATTATAAACACCTCATATTTTTAATAACCTTTTGTAGCTAGGCTACCTACCTGTAGGCATGTTTGAGTCACCGGCAAAACGAGATATCATGGATGATGAATGTATGAATGCAGTGGATATCGAACTGGACCCTCTGGATAAACATCGGGTCTTCATTCGAAATTACATAGAGATCTCATTTACCGTATTCTTTTAGTCTCCAATTCGCAAACACCGTATTTAACGTATAATCGTTTTACAATTCTACCAGTGTGACCTTGTAGTGTAAACCCCTTTTCTAAATACCACCTCCCATCTCCCTAATCCATATTCCGATCACAAAACAATCGTTTGATCCTTCATCTAGAAAAGAAACTATACATTGTGTATTCCTCTTATTCGCCAAGGTAGTTTATCAATTCTTAAGGAATAATCCGTTCCTCTCGAGTAACTGTACAAGTATTGTATAGATACGGTTAGTAGATCTCGCACGGCGCTCCCCACAAAGGCTCCATTCTGATTAGCTGGATAACCTCCTGGAGCTAGCCAAAGTAATAGTCCAAGATATTTGCCCGGAAATCCAACAAGTAGACTTTTGAACGTATTGTTTGGATTTCTCTACGGTGGTGTCGTATAATGGTCAGTACAACACGTTGTGGACATTACACGGTACCGTGTAAATCTGGGTTCGATTCCCAGCACCGCCAATTCTTTTGTTGTTCTCGTCGGTGTAGTTATGTCTATTCGTACATGGTAAACCTGGATTCGATTCCTAGTACTATCAATACCTTTGCCTTCTTCGTCAGGCGCGATCAATTTTTTTCTTCTAATTTATTCCCATTAATACCAAGTAATTCAACGGCCGTTGCATGACTCGCCTACTGTAGAAATAATTAGGAGAAATAGGAGAACAGGTAGACATTGCAATTAACGTCGTGGTTTCCTCAGTTACTGCATTTTTAAAGTGCGGCTTAATATAGTGGGTCCCATGCATGTAGCACCTATCTAAATCCACCCGAAAAAAAAAATAACATTTGAAATTCCACTGGAGCTTAATTCGTCATGCGACACGTCTTTTCATTTCTTTTTCCTTTCATCAACTTTTCGTCTTGATACAACGCAACGCTCTTCGTTCTTGAAGGCATCGTCATCAAGAGGATATTCAAAACCAAGTGATCTTCGCATCCGTTCAACAAAACAAAACAATCTCGTAATCGTATTTATTCATTGTTCATTCCTGTGCGGTGTTAGACCTTGATCTATGTGGATGGTTCTTTTGCCTAGCTGATTCCTCGTAATCATGGCACAAGCTGGCATCTCAAGAGAACCCATTGCCATAGCTTCAGGCTATCAGCCGGGCGGCCAGAATGGAAGTTTAACAACAGCTGATCTCGAAGAGATCCGCGAATATCAGAAGGTTATCAGTTTTCGAGATACTATAGTATCTGGCAAGCATCCTCGTATCAAGGTTGCTGCTAAGCCTACCACTCCTCAACAAGCTCAAGCCCAGGCTGCTTCACTTGCGACAGAACGCGTTGCGTCGTCACCATCATTCTCACAACCTTTACAGCCTTTGCAAAATGCACCTAATCTCAACTATCACCAGGTGGACAATCTTAATTCTTTCAAAGTCAACTCACAACAACCAGCTATCGCCGTAGTTGCGACTGGTCGTTCTGGTGCTTCCTCTGCCTTTATTCCAGGTGTCTCGACACCTTTAGATCATAGCAAGACCCCCCTCGACCCTGTCTTGTATCAGAACCCTAAAGACCACGCCGAGGCAGGTCTTGAGATGCAAAGACGAAAGATCGAACAAGATCTCAGAGATCAGTTTGAACAGCGCTCGGTTTTACAATACCAATCTGAGCATATTGACCTTGATCTTCCAGATATTTTGGCAAAAGCACTGACTCTCGTACAAGCTACGGCACCGATATCTACCGATACTCCTAATCTTACTACAATTTCCGACTCGAGCGATTCCTTCGACGAGCACACGTTTTATTCCAGTCCGCATGAGACTCCTATTTCGCGTGCCTCGCCCCGAGTTCAGAATGTCATAGGTCAAGATGTAGCAATGCAAGACACTACTCCCCAACGTGGGCCACATGCTCCGCCGCTACTTAAGCCCCAGCCTAGGTACGTTTTCAAGCAGCCCATTCACACTTCGGCACCATTATACCAACAAGATCTCAGTCCGGGCGTGCAGCCGATCCAGATCGCAAGTGGTTCGCATACATTGCCGTCGAGCACTAGCGTTCCGGCCAAGGCTGTCCAAGGCCGTGACCATGAACTCCAGCAGACCTCAAAACCTAGCCGTGAAGCATCATTGGTAACACAGTTCCGCCAACTGCATCACATGGAGCCTCAGGTGATCAGTTCAGACAGTGGTCCTACTAGTAGATCGGACAATGGCAATACAGATTCGGATCAGCCTACTGACTATAGCCGCCTCCAATTTCCTCAGCATCCTCAATACTTACTTCCTGCTGCTCCCTTGAGACAACAACAGCCTCCTTTAGTTCGTACTCACGGTCTTTTGCCGTATGCCCCCCAACCTGCACACATTTCGTCTTTGGCAACAGCTCGAAGACCGCCTGCCTCCGATCCAGACATCAGCATCTTGCCCGGCGCGCCAGCGCAGGTAACTGCTCTAAGACAAGAACGTGGAGTTGTCACCAGTCCCGAGAGCTCCCCTCAAGGAGAGAAGAGAGGCAAGAAGAATAATAAGAAGAAGAACAAGAGAAAGGCTGGAACGAGAGCATCAGATGTTCCGGGTTCTCCGTACATCAAACCCGAACCTCGTTCGCCTTCACCTTTGTCGGCGCCTCAATTTATCCGACCTCAAAAGCGATTGCGATCTGACCCTCATCAGCAACCAGAGCTAGCATATGATGAGCCGCGAATTGAACGACCAGTTTCGGTGATACGTCGCGAGCCGTTTACTGCAACACATACGCCAACCGAACGACCTCCTTACGGGTTTGAGAGAGTGGACGATCCATACGTAAGACAGGTGCCTCAGTCTGTTGCTCCGGCAAGTCAAAGATTGGAGCACGCTGTATATGAGGAGCGACGAGTTGATGGAACGGCTGTCCAGTATATCCAACGAGTCCAATCTCCTTATGGTTACGCGGCTCCCTATGGTGCTGTCGAGTCACGTCCTCTACGCTCGGCTAGTTATTCCTTAAACCCCCAGTATCGAGAGGTTTCTGCTTACCCGCGGGATGGGCGAATGAGCGTACGACCTTATGCTGATCGTGCTAGATCACGATCGCCCGTAATTATCGAGAGGCGTTCGCCTGTGATGGCACCCCCCGCCCCCCCGTCTCGCATCATAGTTGATGAATACGGCCGCGAGTATCTCGAACCCCCCCGTTCCAGCACTGTTGCCCGCCACTCGGTTGTACCAGGTCCGCGACCCGGTGAACGCGAGATTGTATACGAGCGAGTACCGGCGCGTATTCCATCTCGTATGTCTAGAGAGACCTTCGAAGAGGATGGGGTTATCTACCGGCGTGCGTCACCTACGTATGCTCCCCGGCGCGTAGTCACACAACCAGAGTACGGGGTTGATTATAGAAGCTACCGTGAGCGTGATTACCCGATGCAACCTATTGGAGTGCCGGGCCAAGACTTTGTGCCGATCCGAGGGGCAACTGGCGGACGGGGACCCGAGGAGTTGCCTCGAGACTATCTCTCCAGAGCCGCGACCGTGCGACCGGCAGAGGCTGCACCGTATTATAGCAGGCATGATACTGTACGACCCGATATACCTCCTAGACATTATGCTGCTAGCGTTCATCCCGAGGTAAGAAGAGATGCGGTGCCTCCGGTAGTTCGGGAGTATAGCGTCAGACCGGCGGAGCATGATGCACCCAGACGCGAATATAGCGTTCGTCCAGTAGACCGCCTTTATGACAGGCCGCCACATGCACATGCACATGCAGACGAAGACGTCACCTACATTGAACGCCCCCGAGCAGCTCAACCGGAGATTATCTACGCAGACAATAGTCGACGACATGTCTATCAGTGAGCACGTACCATCTAAGCTTAAGGATGGTATGTGCGAGGATTGTACATTATAGTTGAACCCGAAGAGGACTAACGATAGATGAGGCACCTCTTAGGTTTAGTCAGTGTTGGAATTATTCAGACATGGTTAAGAGTTTGAGCCCTGCCATGGCCGTGGAGTTGTACTGTACTGGAGTAGCCGAGTGCGAATCTGCTCGGCATTGGCATTGAGGGGGGGTCTATGAGTTCAGGTATTGCCTTAAGTGCGCGTGGCTTGGAATTTTGGCGGTGGCATGCTGGAAGTTTCTCGATTTGACGGAGCTTGGTACAGCTAGGTGCACGTGTACCTATTTGCACCATCCAGTGTACATAATTCTTAGGCGGCCTCAATCGACTACACATAAGACCCCCAAATCAATCTGCATTCCTTGAGCGAGAGTGGCACGGTACATGATGGTTTTATTAATCTTAGATTATAGGAACTCTGATCTGCATAGACGAGGCAAATGTGTGAACTAGGCAAGGGACGGACGTGAGAAGGCGTTCTTGCATGTATTGCAACCATATCCTACCATCGTTTAATTGTACATGTGTAGTTGTGGTGTGTTAGCCGAAGCGGTGGTCGGCAATACACGCATACGCTCCGTCCACAATCCGGCTACCTATATGTAAAGTGTCAAGGTGGAAGATGACTTTGCCTAATAAGACTATAGGTATTGGGTATTAGGTATTAGAGTCATTGTCTATATGATCTACCTAGGTAGATAACCATTTCCTCTATTAATGATTACCATTTTAAGCAAACTTCTTTCCTCTCGTTTCCGTTGATTTATGAATATCTAACATGTGAACACAAAACACGCCTCAATATAGAGATATCCTCTAGTTCGGCTCGGGATTCGGAACCGCGTAGCTTACGATGGGGGCTACCAGCCCTACATGTATGAGCCGTCCCACCACCGGACCTTCGGCAGCCATCGCACACGCACGACGCGCGGCCCCGGATGGTTCTTAGAGGTAGGGAAATAGGGGGACACTAGCTATAAGAGGTGGGAAGGTAGAGGGATGTCAAGATCTTGAAGCAATATTTTAATATAGAAAGCTCCGTGGCATACTCGCAGTCGAAGGTTGTTTACCTACCTAGTAAACATGTACGACATCAATGCCTTAGTTATTGTTGGTACTGATGGCATTGTTATGTGGCACTCTTCCAGGGGTTCGAGCTTGACTTAGTCGTTACTATTCCCTGAAAGCTTAAGTGAGATGGGGGATAAAAACTTGATGAAAATCGACAAGGGGAAATGCTCAGCTGAAGCTTCACGAGGTCGACGAGGGGGACCCTAACTTACTTGGTTAATACTTACATATATGTGTGTGTGCATTGCTCTGCTACGTGTTGTCTTCTGCTTTAATAATTCCCGGGCGATTAATAAGGAAAGGGATGAGAGGCAGCGCGGGAGATCCGCCAACACAGATCGATGTGTTACCGACATACATAGTATGCAGTAGCAGAGTAGTAAATATGTACACAATAATAAGGAATATCCGAGTACGCGCGGTAATCCATTTGAATTGTCTGATTCTTTGTCGGTTCGAGCTTCCGATTTACTCGGTGTTTATGTGTTAGGTAAGGTGTTTAGGTAGGACGTATGTATGTATGTATTTTGGTATTTATTAGTCGTATGTATCG